TATAAAAAAAAAAAAAAAAAAAAAAAGTCCTCAGCTCGAGGGCATTCATAATTTTTCTTTCTTATCATAGCGTTTCATTGAGTTTCCTTCTTTGTTCTTGCAGTGATTTTTTTAGTTAATAAATATTCTTATGGTTACGAGTTCGTAGTTAGGATAAAGGCTAAATGTATGATATTATCTCTAATGTCTGTGTCTCTATTTTAATTTTCTTGCTTTGATCATTTTGTGAGATTTAAATTTTATATACTATCCCTAACTTAGATTAATATTTCTAGATAATACGAAAATCATCGAAAAATTTCTATCAATTTCTAATTGGATAACAATCTATTTTTCTAGTTTTCAATCTTTTTTCCAGGCAATCACGAGGATTCCGTACTTGAGAATGCAAGTGCTGGAATCATACAAAATATATGAATGTCTGAGAGTGAAAGCGAACAACTCGTAAGTGTGTTTGTATTGAAAAATCAATTTGAATATAATTTAATTCTATAACATATATACAATGACCTAAAAAAAATTAATCTCACACGCTAAAAAAGATGTGAATCAAAACAAATTAAAAATAAATACTCAAAAATATTATTATCATGCCGTAAAATACTACTTGAAATTTTAAAGTAGCATTAAAATTTTTAATATTTATAAAAGAAACCGTACACTTCATAAATTATCTCTAAATTACAAAAAAAAATTGAAAGTTTAAATAAGGGTGTTAATTTGTAAAAATAATTAAAATGTATTAATGAAAATTTGGAAAGTTAAAGTTTTAATTTTTTTTAATTTAAGGTTATTTTTTAAATATAATTATTGTATTTTTTAAAATTTAGAAGTATTTCTAAATTTATTAAAAAAAATGTGAAGGTAATTTTAATTTTTTTTAAAAATTTAATGGTATTTTTGAATGGAATAAAAAGTTTATAAAGATATTTTAGACCTTTTTTTTTTTTAATTGAAATGGGTAAAACTCGAACGCAACTCCAACCCGAGAAATTATCCATTGCGCTTGCGCTTGCGCGCGGAGGTCAGCAACAATCTCTGACTTTCCCTGTATGGGCACGTCATTATGCCATCCCTTCCCATTGCGCGCTCTTATTGAGAGGCCTTATCCTGTGCGATTTCGGAGTGGATTGATTGTTTCAGTATTGAATCTGTAAACTGATTTCCCGCTTTCAGTTTCCACTGCAGCTTGTTCGAGGTTTCTCATGGCGGATAATCCATCGGGCTTTGATCCTGATCGTATTCTTGCTCACAAATTTCCTGAGGTATGGAATATTGATTCACTCACCTTCTTGTGTGCAAGCTACGCTCTGTTTCTTTCGCTTGGTTTTACTCTCCTCCTATTTTTGTCATCGAACTACCTTTCGTTAAGATAAAACGAAGTATGAACCCGAAGAATTGGGATGAAAAGTAAGGAATTGTGGATCTCTGGGCTCTCGGCCTGTTTAGGTTTGTCATTGATTTCGATGTCGTTTTTGAATTTTGATCTTTGCTCTCTGGGACACCTCGTAGTGACAACTATTTAAGGGAACATTAGTGTCGATGTTTCTTACATATCATGTTCATGTATAACTAACCACCGTTATCTAGGTTTTTTACATATCATATTGGAAGACATCTTGTCAATTGATTCTTCTCTGTAATGTGTCAACTTGAAAGAACAAAACTACTCAACTATTAATTAGTTGGATAGGTTCATTGTTGTTGGCGTAATTTCCTCAAAATGCCAGTGATGGGAAATTAGGCATGTAAGGCATATCCTACCCTGCTTCTTAGCATATTATTAGCAAGTCTGTTGAAGGCTCATAACTTTAGGAATATGTTATAGCATTTAATTGAGAACTTTTTCGGCCTTACACGGTTTTCTTATTTCAAACTTAGTTGATTCAAAGGTCAGATATTAAGCAATAACTCAAGAAAATTCCTTAATAGTCCCAAGATTAGAGTCTTTCTTGTCTGAAAGCACACCGCAGCGATTCTCATATGCATAGAACAGACATATGGTATGTATGGTCCTTTATCATATTAAGATATGTTAGACTTGAAAACATGTTTCTAAACCATTATAGAAAGAATCTTACTGAAGACAGAAGGGTCTGTGCATGTGCATGATGCGGACAACTTTCTTGGAGAAAATTTCATATTGAAGAGGGCAGGGGTGAGCTTTCGGTGGCCAGTGCCTTTTTGAATCCTATTCTCCTTTGTGAGTGGATATGTAAGCTGGTTAGATAGTCAACCTTGGCTTTACTGCGAAACCCCTTTTAACAATGTGGCTTCCTCCTTCTCCATGACATGTAGACACATTTTTTTGGATAATCTGTCCATGATTGACACATAATCAAACATGAAAGAATCGTTAATTTGAAGTGAATTGCATCAAATGTGGTCTAAGCATATGCTGCATTAAGATAATTGGTTTTGATTTTATTTCTCGTAAAACGTTGAATGGTTTGAAAAGGTTATTGCTTCATCATGAATGCAGAATTTTTTTTCTTCAACTTCTTGATAATGTTGTATGCTTTCACCTTTATCGGACATTAGCTTTTGGATGTTGACATAAGATGTAATATTTATCAAGTTCTGAAGGAATCATAAATTTGTAGCTGTTTTATTTTAAAGCCTGGGTTAATCAGCTCCGTGCATACATCTTTTTTGCCAAATTTAGTTTCTAATATGTCAATAGTTGAGGCTATCGTTCTATATATATTGGCTGGGGAAGAAAATTCACTAATGTTCACATGAAGTTTTGATTTTCTTTTTCATTAGACGTGTAGAGACTTATTTGTTCTAATTTACTTTTTCTGTAGACAACATCCACCTATACCGAGAGGTAAATCCTCATATACTGAGCTTATGCATTCAACTGTTCTACTTGAGGGAGGTTACCGTTTATGTCAATTAGTGTACTTCTTTCTGTTGATTGACAGAGATGTTGCACTCTATGCTCTGGGCATTGGAGCATGTGGTCGGGAAGCTGTGGATGCTGATGAGCTGAAATATGTTTACAATGAAAATGGGCAAGAATACATCGAGGTACTTCATCTAGAATTGTAAAATATGTGTAGATATATATATAAAGGGGGCAGAGCATGTTGAATTTCTGGGGTTGATACTATGATTTTCAATGGGCTGAGGGGAGGAGGTGATTGGTGAATTGTTAGAGTTCTGGAGGAATTGCACTACTCTGATTTTTGGGAAATTTAGATTCTCTTTTTTTTTTTTTTTTTTTTTTTTTTTTTTTTTTTTTTTTTTTTTTT